TTTTTCCAAGGCTCATGCTCCAGCCAGATGCTCACCGTCTTGCAGAGCTCCAATCCGGGAGCCTCTGTGCAGCCCGGAGGCACTGCTGGCTTGCATCTCGGGACCTGCATTTCCAGGGTTTGGAAAAGGTAGAGAGATGTGAGCTACAAGCTAGAATCGGGGAGAGGGTGGCGTCTGCGCCGGTGCCCAGGGCGGGCCGCTCTTTCCCTCCCCCCTGCCCCCCACACCTGCCTCTCCACCCGCCGACCCATCACTTCCACTCGCTCACTCCGGCAAAAACACCAGGAGTTAACACCCGATTCCCTGGATCCGAAGAGGCGCAGCCAGGACTAGAACCAGCGCCTGTATGGGATGCCGGTGCTTCAGGCCAGGGCTTTAACCTGCTGCGCCGGCCCCTGAATTTGATCTTTAAAAATTGTGAAGTTTGAATAACTAAAGAGAAAGTAAAAAAAAAAAAAAAAAAAAAAAAAAAACACAAAACCACTACTCAGGCTAAGGAACAGAGCACCGCTGACACTGGGAAGCCCCTGAAGAGGCCGTCCCGCGGCTGTGGCCCTGCCCCAACACCACCGTCTTCAGGTAAAGCCTGCTCCTGCCTCCTACAGCTACACATTGTTTTGTCTGCCTTAACACTTTGTATAAAGGGATCATGTTAACCTAGTACGCCTTGTGCTTTTTCACTTTGCATTTTGCTTTTTAATTTTTCTTGTCTTTGTAGTTGAAGAGCGAGCTCTGATCTGCTGGCTCACTCCTCAAATGCCCGCAGCGTCATGGCTCCCAGAAGCCAGGTCTCCCGTGTGAGTGGCAGGGACGCAGTCCGTTGAGCCGTCACTGCTGCCTCCCAGGATGTGCGCGAGGAGGCTGGAGTCGGCAGCAGAGCCAGCACCTGATACGGGACACAGGCTGCTCCGCCAGCGCGGGAGCCACTGTTCCGAACGCCCGCCCCTTGCGCTGCGTTTTGCTGGTGAGCTTCCTCCGTGTTGTTGCGGCTCGCTGTCATTTGCTCCTTTCCATTGCTGAACAGTGTTTACAAAGCATGAAGACAGCAGGCGGATGTGAGCTACTGCCCGCAGAAATATCTGCCAGCCCAGCTCCACGCTCAGCTTCCCATGCGTCCTCAGCCTCATTCTCTAGGGGAGAAAGCAGGCTCCAAGAAGTTGAGTGCTTTTAGTGCCCAGGCCCGGGGTTTGACAGCCGGACTCAAACCTGCTTCGGCCACTAGGAGCGTCACCGGGTGACCTTGGGCAGTCATGCCTGGGCTGTGGTTTCTAGTTCAGTGTTAAAATCCAACAAAAGAAGACACAAGTGCTACAACTTCTGCTGGCCACGGCAAGCTTGCATTGAGTGTGAGCTGCCAGTGTCAACAGACACGGCGTGTGAGCTTCAGCTCCTGCACCCCCTTCCCCTCCAGCACATCGCCACTGCCTTTTAGAACCTGGCTCACTCAGCAACCCTCGACTGAAGAAATGGTCAGGGACTCGGGAAAGCAAAACCTGAAAACCTGAACTAAGCTTCAGCAGAATCCCGTCCTGAGGGAGAGGTGGGGCTGTCCTTTGTGGACCCCACCCCCGTGAAGTCTATTCTAGATGCTTCCTGAGCAGGTGTTGTGTGCGCTGCAGGAGGCTGGCCTTATGACGGGCAGCCTTGGGCTTTATTCCCCGGCCTGGCCCGTCTGAGCCCTGCAGCCTGCATGAGTGCTTTGAAGTCTGTGCTTGTCTGTGGACGAGGGTGGCCCCTGCACCTGATCTTCCAGACGGGATGCTAAGGGTGCCATGTGGGAGGGACATGGAAGCATGCTGCCACCTGGGAAGCCATGCATCAGTGTAAGGCGCTGTCCCCACCTGCCCTAGAAACCATTCCCAGGGGGCTGGCGCGACCTAGGCCTCCCATATTGGAGCACGGGTTCGAGTTCCAGCTGCTCTACTTCCAACCCGCTGCCTGCTCACGTGCCTAGGAAGGCAGCGGTTAATGGCCCCTGCTGCCCAAGTGGGAGACCTGGATGGAGCTCCGGGCTCCTGGCTTCAGCCTAAATCAGCTGCAGCAATGACCTTGGGGAGTGAACCAGCAGATGGAAGTTCTCAATTTCTCTCTCTCCTCTATCACTCTGCCTTTCAAATAAATGAATAAACCTTAAAAGAGAGAGAGAGAGAGAAAGGAAGAAAGAAAAAAGCAGGCAATGACCCCTAGTACCAGGCCTTCCCAGGCTCCTGGGAGACAAGAATGACAGCAATGTGGACCCAGAAGGCCAGGTGCAGGGCGAGTGGCTTTGACTGACATCCCAACCTCTGGGGCTTGGGGCTGACTGCACATTCTTCATACCATCTGAATTCACGGTGAACATTTGTTACTCTAATGATCCATCCGTGGAACACAAACCTCTATCCCCTAGCTTTTCACCCTCAGGCCCTGGAGTTCAGTGGGCACACAGCCACGTACTGACCAACCAGGCCAGCCCTCACTGTGGTCACAGCCCCCTCGCGTTCTCCAGGCAGGGGACCTCCAACACAAGGGAGGAGAGGGATGGCATGTAACTCCCACGGGCGACCCAGGGCCTCGGGCCATCTCTGTCACCCTCAGAGGAGCTGACCCATTTCTCTCTGGGCCTTCGTGTCCTTATCAATAAAATGAGAGGCTGGGGTGCAGGCAGGATGTGATTCAAGGCCTTTAGCTAAGGCCACTGAGGTACGTGCAGTTTGGGGGCTGGTCTCCGGGACACCTGCTTCCCTCCAAAATGCCCCCGGATGGGGCCGGTCTTCCAGCCTGGCTGCAGAGGAAGCAGTCACTGGGTGCCAGGGTGGCCACGTGCTAGATCCACAAGGTCGTGCAGCTGACTCCGCCTCTCGTCTAGAAGCCAATTCCTGTACAACGCGCCACGACTTCCAAGGCACTGGATAATGCAACTCAGCCTGCCCCAGTGGCTGTCAACATACAAGGCCAGCCTCCAGCCCAGGCAGCCTGACCGATCTGTCCATCTTCTCTCAGCCTCTTGCCTCACAGCTGCCATCTCGCTAGGCTGGGAAGCTGAAGGCAAAGGGACCGTGTAGTCAGGGTGGCCCAGCTCCAGCTCAGACACCACGTCCGTCACCCTGGACGCCCCCCCACTTCCTCCAGGACGGATATGCGAAGCATCTGGGAAGCCAGCAGCTGCCGCCTGCCACCCCACGGAGGGCAGCGGTGAGGTCATCCCCATACATAGGGGCCGGGGGCCGGGGGTGAAAGGGGCTCTGTGTGCAGGAGACAGCCTCCCTGTCTTCCTGTGAACTCCAGGAGCACTGCACGGACATGCTGGCACCACAGATGAACCGGCAACCCCGCTCGGCTCGCCTCGCCACCACAAAAGCATCTTTCATCGTAACAGACTCCAGATCGCAGGAAGAGTTCACTGAACAGTGGCCGGAAACAAGCAGCCGCGCTGAAGGCGCTGGCTGACCCCGGCCATCTCTCAGGATTCCTGCTTTGCCCCGGAAAGTCGGGGAGACAGGTCCATGGAGTCTAACCGTGTGGACCATGGCATGTGGAAAGATGGAGAAGTGGACGGCATCCAGACCTGACCAGGCTAGCCCTGAAAGAGCAGGCTCTGCCATGCTCAGCCAGCAGGGGCTTCGCAGAGGGGTGGCAGCCACAGGGCAGGTGGCTCTAGCCTGGCTGTCAGCACACAGAGAAAGGGGCAAGTTGTGTTCTTTTCCCCAAGATTTATCTATTTGAAGGCAGAGTTAGACACACACAGAGGGATCTTCCATCTGCTGGCTCACACGCCGAATGCCCGTCATGGCTGGAGCTGGGCCAGGCTGAAGCCAGGAGCCTGGAACTCTGTTTCCCACGTGGATGCCAGGGGCCCAAGCACTCAGGCCATCTTCAGCTGCTTTCCCGGGCACATCAGCAGGGAGCTGGATTAGAAGTGGAGCAGCCGCGACACAAAGTGGTACCCAAATGGGATGCGGTGTTGCAGGTGGCAGCTTCACCTACGGCATCACAACGCCGGCCCCCGGGAAAGTTGTCTTAACTGAGCCCGCGGAGCTATGAGGCCTGTGACCACTGGGGACAGAGGATTGCTCAGCGAGTCACGCAGGGTAGCACAGCAGCACCACTCCCTCCACAGAGACAGACGCAGGACGCACCCGTGGGAGAAGAGTGCTTCTTGCCACTTAACCTCTCAGGAGGCGGCAACGGTAGCAGCAGACCTCTAACCCCAGTGATAGCGGCTGGTGCTGCCAACCCCGAGCTCACCCCTGTGGAATGAAACCAAACCCAGAAGGAAGTGGCGAGGGGACAGCACAGATCTGGAATGGCCTTTTGTTTAGTTGACTTTTAACTTTCAATTGCATAAACATAACCTTTCCAAAAAGGTCTGGGTATAGCACACCAAAGTACACAAGTGCTGGGAAACCCACGCTGCCCGGGTGTCAGCACCGCGCGTCCTTCAAGGCGCCCGAGGACTGTCTGTCCCCACGCTGCTCTCCTCCGCAGAAATGCCGCATCAAATACACGTGCTCACCTTCTGCGGACTAACAAGAGCAACAGCGCCAGGCTCCCTCCCCTCACAGGCACACGCCCCAGAATAACGAGCGGTGGGGGAAAAGCAGCGCACAGCCTGGGTTCCGGCCAGTGACTCCGCACTCAAGCAGGGACTCCATCTGGAAGTCGGACAGGGAAGCAGTGAGCTGGTCCAGTGCAGACAAGACTAGATTATTCTAGTCCAGAGAGAACACGCGGGGCTGCAGCATGTCACCTACCTAAGGTGATTAAGAGCAATTTGGACCGTATGGCACCTTGCCTTAAGCTCCACTTAAGATCCAACTCCTAGTGAGAGGATTCTACTGGCCATTTACTATTTGTGTGTGTTTTCCATTTAGTTTATCTCAAAAGTTGTTCCCAAATCAGTTGTACACATCTGCCTTAGTCTTTAACTGCTCAGCGCGAGTTCCCAGTGCAACTGCACGCTGTTCTTGTCCTGTATCACAAAGGAAAGGGAAACGCCATTAAGAAAGGTGGGACCAGACTTACAAACCAAGAATATAGCATTTTATTCCTCTCCAGACGATGAGTCTTACACAGCGTGTATAGATGCGGATACTACAAAACCAAGACTGGGCCACAGGAAGAGCAACTGGGCTGAAACTGCCACACGCTGAGTTTTATTCTGTGCTGCGTGCTGAGTTTTCTTCCACATGCCGGGGCGGGCCGCAGTCGCGTGCGCTTCACGGTGCCCAGCACCACTGTACTTACACCGCAGTCACGTGGTCGCTGGGATCCACACAAGGGATACCAGGTAGTAAATAAAGCAATCACAGCACAGGGGATTAATATAAATATGGTTTTGCATTGTCCTCCAGATAGTTTCCTTTATAAACTAAAGATCCCATTCAGGCTCTTTCCCTTGAGTTGTATCTCAGTTATTGCTGGAGGGGGAAAAAAAAAAAACAGAAAGAAAGCTCAGTTTGTTATTAGAAAATGGGAATGGGGGTAGTGTGGTGCAGCAGGTTAAGCTGCCACGTGGGATGGGCGCCATCCCATACTAGAGTGACAGTTCAAGTCCCAGTCATTCCACTCTGACCCGGGCTTCCTGTTACATGCCTCGGAAACAGTGGATGATCCCTCAAGTAGTTGGAAGACCCGGATGGCATTCCTGGCTCCTGGCTCTTGTGGGCATTTGGGGAGTAGTTAACCAACAGATGGAAGACCTGTCTGTCACTCTGCCTTTCAAGTAAACAACTCTTCAAAAAATGCATAGTGTCACCAGCCACCCCCTCCGATGACACGGGAGTGGGCACTGGGCTGCGGCACGCACACACTCCTGCAGCACTTAAGCAGCCACCAGTGTGTGAGGAGGGGCCTCTCTGCGGGGCTGCTAAAGAGGCTGAGCTGGAAGATCTTGCTGGAAGGAGGCCCCGGGGAGGGGCGGGTCCCCTTGTGGCCGTGGAACAGCTTAACAGTCCTAGTCCTTCCTAGGGGCAATGCTGACACAGGGCTGACCCTGGAGGAAGATCTAAGATCTTCCAAGGCAACGGGCAGGCCAGAGGCGCTGCAGCCACAGGCCCCAGCTCACTGTCTGGCCCTCCCGAGAAGGGCCGGCTCACCTTCGCCTTGTTCTGCACTGGAAGATACAGTTTGAACTCTGCTGGCAGCTCATCTTCCGAGTACAGCCTGTCGGAGAAGTAGACCCGCCGGATGCGACAGTTGGCGTGGATCTGCGGAGGCAAGGCTGACTTTGAGAGCGCCCCCTCCCGCACCCTGGTTAAGCTTCATCTCACGGGCCCCTCTTCAGCAGGGCCCGAGCACGGATTCTGGCAGGAGTGCCTTCTGTATCTGAGCTTTTTCCAAGTACAAAGCCCCCCAGAGACTTGGAAACTTGAGCCAGAAGCCCACGGTGTTCTGCCACAAGCCAGGGTCAGAGCGCCCCCCGCGCTCCCCGGCCTGGGCTCTGTCTGGAAAGTGAGCGGTACCTGCACCCTCAGCGTCTCGATGTAATTCGTGCCATAGGCTCGCCGGGTGAAGTCGGACAAGTTGAACTGGATCTGGTTCCAGCCGTCGTCCAGCCGCATGGGCATGGTGCAGATGAAGGGCTTCACCCGGGTGGTGCTCTGGTAGTTACTCGCCCGAAACCGCCGGCGCACATTCTTGTCATCTAGCACCTGGGAAACACGGGCAAGAGTCAGGCCACTGCAGCTCGGCACAAGCGAAACCACCTCAGTAAGAACTCCCACAGCCTGGTCTCCCGAGGCGGATACCCAGAGGGAAGCAAAAAGACCAGACGCAGGCCAGGCCACACAGTGGATGCAGATGGCCTGGAAGCTGCAAGTTGATCTTGTTTGTTGCTAAGACAACATCAGCTGCTTATGACATATGACAACCAGCAGGCTGTCAGACCATAGAATAATTTCATAAACATTCTTTAATTTCAAAAGAAAACAGAATAACCCAGTTATAAATAATTACCCCTCACCCCACATGATACTACACTAATCCTTAAACTTGTAGCTATTTTTTTTTTCAAATTATTTAAAGGCAGAATTAGAAAGGACACACACACACATACACATACACACACAGATCTTCCATACATTGATTTACACCCCAAATATTAACAACGGCCAGGGCTGGGCTAGGCTGAAGCCAGGAGTTAGAACTCCATCTAGGGCCAGCGCCGTGGCTCAATAGGCTAATCCTCCACCTGGGGCGCCAGCACCCCAGGTTCTAGTCCCAGTTGCTCCTCTTCCAGGCCAGCTCTCTGCTATGGCCCGGGAGTGCAGTGGAGGATGGCCCAAGTGCTTGGGCCCTGCACCCCCATGGGAGACCAGGAGAAGCACCTGGCTCCTGGCTTCAGATCAGCACTGTGCGCCGGCCACAAGGGCCATTGGGGGGTGAACCAACGGAAAAGGAAGACCTTTCTCTCTGTCTCTCTCTCACTGTCCACTCTGCCTGTCAAAACAAAACAAAACAAAACAAACTCCATCCTGGTCTTACCCATGGGTGGCAGGGGCCCAAGCACTTGGGCCGTCTTCTGCTGCTTTCCCAGGTGCATTAGTGGGGAGCTGGATCAGAAGTGGAGCAGACAGGACTTGAACCAGTGCACACATGGGATGCCAACGCCCGCATGGATGCTGGCAACACAGGCACCAGCTTAACCCACTGTGCCACAATGCTGGCCCCATCTTGCAGCTATTGATCAGATTTTGGGTGCTTACTATTTAAAACTGAGTCTTACATTTCAATTACTAATACCAAATTTACACCATAACACCAGACACACAGACAAGGACACACACACACACACACACACACACACAGTATACAGATGGTTTCACAGCCCCTCCTCCTCTCAGTTGAATGGCTCTGTGGCAGAGGCAGCAGTGAACATGAACATGCACCCATCTTCTACTTACCTGAACTTCAAAGGTGAAATATTTCTTCAGGTTCTTGATAATCATGACAAGGAAAGGAAGTTTAATTCCCAGCGTCTTCTTAGGGTCTGCAGGGCATGTGATGTAAGTGGTGCTGCAGAGAGAGGAAATACCAATACCCTCACTGTTTGTCTGCTTTCTTCTGTGGTATGCACAGCAGGAACACATGGGGCAGGAGGATCAACTGGAACGCAGATCTCAAAGATTAAGACTCATCACCCTCCACCCCAAGTCAAATAATGCCTTAAAAATACTCGGCTCAGCAACTAAAGTTAAGATGAGACATCAACAAAATAACTGAAAAACAAAGCCAGGGCAGTGGCCCTTCAAAATCCTCTCAATGAGAGAAGATTTTAATGCTGAGCCAAGAGAACCATGAGATTCTAGAAGACCAAAACTATGACCACCATGGCACTGAAAACCACAGGCCACCCGATGATCAGTGTCCCGCCCCTCCCCTCTGGTTAAATAATACAGCTAATACTTACAGTGGGCTTACCATGTGTTACGCATGAGTTTAAGACATACTCGTCAATCTAATCCTCACAATAACCCTACTGTTACAGAGATGTCTCGTTCTCATGTCCATTTTACAGACGAGCAAACTGCGGCCTGGGGGATTCAGTGACTTGCCCAAGGGGAGCTCTGTTAGCACAGCTGGATCCACACGGGGTGGTCTGACTCTGCAGTCTGTGCCCTTAACCGTACGACCACTGCCCCCTCGAATACATCGTGTCGGGAAAACAGAGTTGGCGATCTACCTGACATTTGTCCCTTCAATCTCTAGCACCAGGGACTGGATGTCATTATCAGTGATCCTTTTGATGTGGCCATTTCGCACCTGTCAGGAAGAAAGTTAGATTGGTTAGTCCTGTAATAACTGCTAACAATCTTGTAAAGATTTTGAGGCTGAACTGGGACACATTTAAAGAAAATCACTGTAGTCCAAAGGGCAACAGAGGTTGGAGACACAGTCGGTTGAAGCTGATACATAAAGACACCAGGCTATTACCTCTATCCAGGGTGCCATCGGCCACCACAGGAATCCCACGTGACTTCACAACCCCTACGTCAGGATATACTCCTTCCTGAAGAAATCGACTGGATTCAGCTAACGTGTACTGAGCGCCTACTGTGCACTTAAGGGTGTCACATCCATTCCCTCAATCCTCACAAAAACAAAAATGAAAAGCTGGGTGGTGCTGCTTCTGTGTTACCAACATGGACACTGACCCCCAGGGCCCTCAGATGACAGACTAGAGGTGGGAGAGTCAGGATGCACCAGGCTGTCCACTGCCTGATCCTGCCTCACATACCGTGGCCAGAAAGGGCAAGGGAATGCGCACTCCTGAGAAGGAGGGTGGCGACCGAAAGAGTGAAATCTTTCCTCTGCTTTGCTCACTCCTACTCCTTGCTGCTTTGTCGACTTCTCCAGAATCTCTGCTGCAAGTATGAACTCAAGTCCCATCTGTGCCACACACAGAGGCCTGCGTTAGCACTGTCAGCCCACGCTGACCTCTCTTCTGATCCGCTTCTCTGGCTCACATTGTCTAGACTACACAATTTAGCACTTCATCCTCCATCGTTCTGTATTGTCTGCTGCAGATGTAGGAGGCACATAATGGGAAGGAATCAACATTCAATACCAACTCCTCCTCTCAAAACATTTAGGAAAGAAGTTCTCTTCCAGCATTAAACTCTTTAGCTCCTAACAGGGACAGAGCGATAGGCAAAGGCACTCTGGAGACAGGGCTACGCTGTGCCAGCATTAGAAAAAGATCCACCGCTTTAGAACAGGACACATCAGAAAGACAACGTGATCTTCTTCTAGTTGTGAAAATCGCTGTGCTGGGCTGTCAGATCCTATGACTTGATCCCACTAACTGAAGCTCTCCTTGTTCATTAATTGGCCTCATGGTTACAATTTTGCTTTTCATTACATCTGCATAGAGAGGGCGAGAACAGTGTTGAGTCTGAGAGCTGTATCTTTCAACATGAATGATTAATACGATGGCATTCTGTTTTTAGACACTGGTCTCTGTGAGCTCCGTTCCTGAGAGCCCGAGCCACTTGCAGCGCGCTTTGCTGTGCCCCAGAGAACAGTGACATCACTGCCTGCCTTCTACAACTGCGACTTGAATCGTCTCTCCTCAAAAGTGTAAGCCCAAGTGAGAACAGGGACCATGTAGTAAGCATCATTTCTATCTTCTACAAAGCTTTGCACTGTGCTAGGCGTAAGCTAAGCATTCAAATATGTGCTGACTTCTGGAATCTGTCACCCTAAGAGCTGGCACACATCAATAGGTTCGAGGAGGGTTTTGAAAATATTCCTGGAAACATATCCACCATGGACTATTATAGGAAGCCAGAGATCCTGGGGGATATCACAAGGCCCATGAAGCTGCCAGCATGAAGAACGCTTTCCCATAAAACATCCTTTGGTGTCCATTGTCAGAGACAGAGTGCTGGGCTGGATGGGCCCCCCAAGCTCTACCAATGAAGCATTTCTTGGGTTCTCAAGACACAAGCGTCACATTGAAATGCTTCTCAAACAAAGCTGGCGACACGCAATGCCCTTCTGCTTTGAATTCTGGGCTTCTGTCCAAGGGAGATTAAGAGCACAAAGGCGCGGGTCTGTGCAGAACATGCCAGTGCTGCCCACCTCGTTGTCCACAGACACGATCCCAACTAATGTGGCGATATGCCTCCTGCGTTTTCTGTGGAAAATCAGGCAGACTCATTGGTGAAGGAAGAATTAACCAATAAATTATCGCCAAATAATGTGATGCGGGCCAACCGATAAGAACTGGCAGTAATTCCAACGAGATGCAAACACTAATGTTATAACATGCCACAATTATTCTCCTTAACATAAACATTCTTTCTTTAAAAGGTGCACACAGCAAAGATCAAATAGATGGCTAAATTAAAGGATTAAGAAGTAATTAGGGCCAGAAGACTACTGTTGCTAAGAGGCAACACGTCACTATTTAGTCGTTGGTGTTTTTAAAGCCAGACCTCCAGCTCATGTCCCCAAAGGTCTCTCAGGCCAGATTTCCACGGGGCCTCTCTCGGCCCCAGAAGATCAGCTGATCTCGATCTCTCGGGGAGGAAACAGCATGGGATTTGCCTCTGCCCACCTCAGAGTTTCTAGCAGATGACTTCATCAGGACACGCCAGCAAATCTGACCCATTCAGGTGTTCACAGAGGAAAACAATGCCTTGCGGCCTCCCATAGAAGCCACAGGAGTCCCAGTGTCCCCACGCTCTGCCCCAGAGGGAAGCCGGCTTTCAGCTGGACTTTCCAACTTCCTAAAGAGACTTCTGTGGTGTTACTGGATAACTACCACTCTCTCAGGTTTAATTCTCGCACAATGCATATCTCCCTCACAATGAGAGGCCGGGAGGGGAAAGGCAGGGTTTTGAAGGTATGCCGGCTAGTCTCTTTTGAGTGTGAACTTGGCTGGGGGACAAACAAAACAGAATTTTGCCCAAAGAAGAAAGTTCAGCCCCCAAAGAGGAAAAACACAAGCATTCCCATATCACGAGCTTTCAGAGCTTCGAAACCAAATTGATTTGCTAGTGAATTATGATTTTTCTTCATTATTAAATTCAAAGGGCTACAAACATAAACTCACTGGAAGAAACGAAGAAAATGAGGTGGGGAAGGCTAGCGCTGGGAGCTGGGAACGCTGAGGGCAGGAAGCCCCAAGGCCAGGTCGCCAGACTCTAGAGCTGGGGCCACAGGAGAAAGGGCAACTGGGAGGTCTGCCTCACTGCCTTCAGTCAGGTCCTGCAGGAAGCAACTCCTCTCCTCAGACGGCTGCTGACACACACAAGAGACATGAACAAGATCTGTTAGCAAGGCATCCACTTCCGCCAGCCTGGCTTTGAGAAGAAGCTAAAACGCAGTGGTCAGCCTTCACTGCCCACGGTGGAAGCAGGGTCTCGCTTTCCTCTCTCAATCAGAAGGAGCGGCTTACTCCCGCTTGTTCATTCGGGATACGTTCCTGTTACCACAGCGTGGCCCAGGAGGTTTATTCCTTGAAAACAAGGCCACGATGAGCTTACAGGATTTTTATTTCCTGCGCTGGAGGTCCTCCAGCAGCTCCAGCGCCCCGCTCACTGGCAGTTACAGATCCGAGTGGTTTTCAGCCTCTGCAGGCACCAAGAGTGCAGCAGACTTCCGAGTCCAGCTCAAGAGCCCTCTCCCAGGCTTTCCACGGTTGCTGGGCAACCAATAAAGAACACTAATTTTTTTTTTCTCCTCTAATGTAAGCCCCAGGGAAGAGGATCAAACCGAAGGAGGAAAAAAAAAAAAAAAAAAAAAAAACAAAAAACACTACAAGGATAGGGAGGAAATTGGCCAAGGCTCTCTATTTCTATGAGTGCTTTAAAAATAACATATGAGCTGTAGCCATTCCCTTCCCCTCCCCCCACTTTAGTTTTCTGGCTCCACCCACTCACCCTGGCAGGCAGCTGCACCCCAGCCATCTGGCATCCTACTCTTAATGACACATGTTCCAATTCACATTAAGCCAAGAGAGCTGTCCATTTCAGCAGGAAGGTTTCTGCCCCGAGTCGGCTGGGCTCCAAGTCAGAAAACAGGCTGAGGGCGCCCTCTGTGGGGCGAACCGGGCATAGCTCTGACTCCACACCTGCGCCTTGCCAGTCTAGGGCCTCTTCCTTTGTAGCCCTTTATAGATCTACCTGGACTGCAAGCAGGTAGCTCTGAGCTTCTCCAGACCCTCATGGGACAGTCAGCATGGGACAATAACGTGTACTGCTAGCCAGACTCTTCCTAACAGCGCCTCAACGGGACGACTGTAAGGAAACCCAAGCCCCGATCCAATGGCCGGAAAAGCTCTCATCAGAATAGCGACGAATAGCATCTGACTGACTCTGGGAAGGTCAGAAAAACAGCGAGTCCAAGGATCTTTCTCTGCCCAGATGCACTCAGTAACGGGCACCAATACGGTTTACTCCTTAAAAACTATGGTGTAGAGTTTTTTCCCAGATACTTTGTTCACTTTAAAAATTAGAACAGAGAAAAGGACTCTAACACTAGCCAGTGAGACAACAAGGAAAGCCTGTGTTTGGGGATTTATTTGGGAGAAGAGGAGAAACAGCAGTAGCTGACAGGAATTCAGGAGGAGTTAGCAGTGTCATCTTGTGGCCTTTGAGCTGAGAATGCCGGCTGTAGCAGTTAACACACTGCTTGTGATTCCTGCATCTCCTAGCAGAATGCCTGGGTCTGAGTGGCCGTTCCACTCCCAATTCCAGCTAATGTGTAGGCTGGGAGGCAGCAGGCGGTGGTTCAAGAAGTTGGGTCCCTGCTGCACACATGGGAGACCTGGTTTAGGTTTCTAGGTTTTAGTTCTGCCCTGGCCAGGCTGTTGTGGGCATTAGGGGAGTGAACCAGCAGGTGAAAGATCTTTATCTCTCTCTGCCTTTCAAATTAATAAAATTTTGCTGGAAAAAAAATGACTGAGACTTATACAATGTTTTACACGTATGTGGGAATAGAACCTCCTGGTACTCTCCTTGCAAACCAGAAGTAACATTTACATTAAGCATGAGTCCTTTAATAAATTTAAGATTTGCCACTAGTCCAAGAAGAGAACATGAAACAAGACAAAGCTAATTTCTTTTTTTTTTTTTTTGACAGGTAGAGTGGACAGTGAGAGAGAGAGAGATAGAGAGAAAGGTCTTCCTTTGCCGTTGGTTCACCCTCCAATGGCCGCCACGGCAGGTGCGGCTGGTGCACCGCGCTGATCGGATGGCAGGAGCCAGGTACCTATCCTGGTCTCCCATGACAAAGCTAATTTCTAAATGAGAGGCTTGAAAACTTTAAAAGGCCTCTATCATCAAGAAACAATGTAGCTAGTAGTACATTTTTAAGATTTATTTGTTTATTTGAGAGACAAAGGGAGACAGAGACAGGGAGGGAGGGAGAGAGAGATTTTCCATCTACTGATTCACTCCCTAAATGGCCTCAATGGCTAGGGCTGGGCCAGGCCAAAGCCAGGAGCCAAGAGCTTCATAAGGCCTGTTAAGCATTTGGGCCATCCTCCACCATCCCCCGAGGAAAAGCAGCAGGGAGCTGGATCAGAAGCGGAGTAGCCGGGACTAGTACTGATGTTCATATGGGATTCCAGTGTCTCGGGTGGCGGCTTAACCCGCTGAGCCACAACACCGTCCCCAGGAGTACAGATCTTCAAAAGCTAATTCCAGTGTGACTACTTAGACAGAAGCTTACTCAGTCTGCAGTCAGGAAGCCCTCTGTGAGGAAGTACCTCTGAACTGTGATCTGGGGACTACTGGGGGTGGGAGCAGCCAGTACAGAAACCTGAAGGGGAGAGAACAGAACTTCTTTCTATTGTGTAGGGGCTACTGCTAAGAGTGCCTTGCCATGGGCCGGGTGGCCTTGGAGCTACAGTATGAGCTTTGGACCAGGAAAGCCATGGTGCAAGGACAAACCCACTCTCATTTCTGAAGTCTGGTTTTTCTGCACTTTCTATTCATAGGCATGGATGCTGGGAACGGTTAGGACCATTATTTTAGTCTTGAATAAGCCTTGGTTCCCCACCACATTTTATACTATATGCCATAACTCTGTTGCTAAGCATTTTAGATACACTTCATTTAATCTCCATAGGCATAAGTAGAAAGCAGACCAGAAAACCATGTGATTAAGTACTTGCCACTGTTCTTTCCTGCACAGGGAGGCAGCCTGTTGGGTTTCCCCCACCCAGCAATAAACCTTTCCCCCCCAAAAAAAGTACCTGCCCCAGGCCACACAACTGGACGAGAACAGAGCCAGGAGGCAGCCCTGAGGTGTCTGAGCACAGCCCAGCACTGGCCTTTCAGGATGACACCATTCTCCTCCTACGGGACGTGCAGGCAGTGGGTGGCACACAGTGGGCAGGACTGCCCAGCGTGAGCTAGAGAGCCACACGAGCACACTGGGGACCTAACTTAGGTTCCCTGTGAAATATGTTCAAGCTGAAACGTGAAGTGTGAGATGGCTGGGAGGGTCGCAGAGGCCTTCCTCGACCTCCCGGGTGTGAGCATCCGCGTGGCAGGTCCATTGCAGGGGCTCAAACACGAGGAGAAGCGTCGCCTGCAAGTTCACTGGTATTGTGGAAACCACATTCACTTCTCAGGTTTGTAAGGAGACACAGCCTACACAGAAGTCGAACCTAATTTTTCAAGATTATTCTTCATAGAAACTGAACAGAAATTCTCCCTGTATAAATTCAGAAAGGAGACTCAAGTTTTGTGAAATCAAAACAGTAACAAAAATAGGCGCCATGGTCAATATGTACCTACGGGCAAGGTCGGGGTCATGTCTACATAAAGGTGGACTGTCCTCTCTTCCTCATCAAACTCTGCCCTTGTTACAACTTTGCTTTATTCCCTGGGAGCAAGGAAAATGCTTTTCCCAGCTCTGTCTCTTCCCAGGTCGACCCAACGCCTGTCACTCCGTGGCTGCCCACTACATCTTTGGTAAGTCTGCGAAAGTGTTTTCTGCCCTGGCCTGGATTCCCAACACTTTCTGAAGACACATTAGGGAGAAGCATTCGCACAACAGAGCCCAGAAACACGGCCTCCAACTTCCCCTTCCTGCCTCTCCTCCCCCTGCCCTGGCGGGGCACCGGGGAGACTCACCCCAGACACTTCCGAGCTGCAGTCGCGTTCTTCGTTCTGCCTCCCTGCCCGAGTGCTGCCCGAATGGCCTCTCAAAATCGCGATCCAGCCGCTGCCAGCGTTGCCGCTGCCCGTAAAGGAGCCGAGGCACCACAGCAAGCGGCTACAGCAGGAGCTAATGATGCTCACGCTGTCTGGCGACAAAGGAATTTCTGTTCTCCCAGAGTCAGACAACCTTGGCAAGTGGACAGGAACCACCCATGGAGCAGCCGGCACAGCAGACCTGAGGGTGCAAGCTCTCGTGGAGTTCCCCAGTGGCTACCCTTAGAAGGCGCCCACGGCGAAGCTCCTCACGCCCTGCTACCACCCCAACGTGGACACGCAGGGGAACTCTGCCTGGACATCCCAAAGGACATGACATGAGGACCACCCTGCTCTCCATCCGGAGCCCGCTGGGCGAGCCCCACATCGACAGCCCTTCGAACACACACACCGCGGAGCTCTGGAGAAACCCCACGGCTTTTAAGAAGCACCTGCAAGGAACCCACCTGGAGCAGGTCTCCAGCCAAGCCCCTGGACCCGGCCGCCCAGCTCCCCCTGCGCTGTCGTCTCTCCTGGTTCCTCCTGAGACGTCTGTCCTGTTCCTGATCTCTGGACTGGACTCTCTCTTGAGCTGTGGTGTTATTTTTTTTTTTTAAATTAAATACATACATTTTGGTTGTTTTTGTAAAAACATTTTTCAATCCAGTCTGAATAAGAAGAGGAGAAACTGGTAACTTCTACTGTGAGGATTCTGCTTACAATTCCTTCATCAGGTTTCTGTTGCTGAAACGCCTGTTTAATTTACTCCCTGTCACCCTGCCCTTGCACATAACAGTGTTTTCACGCCTGTTTATGTCATCAGGGTACCGTCAGACCTCTAGTGGTGTTGTTAAGAGACAAGAAGCACCATGGTTACTTTGCTTCTAGATTCCGAGTGTAAACATGCTGACTAGTCAAAAAGCGCATGTGGAAAATAAGACCCAGCAGGTCAAGCACAGAAGGGCTCAAACTGGCAACCCCGGCACGTTCACCAATCCCAAGGGCTCCTACGTGGCATTCTTTCAGTGCTAGTAAGTCCCTGGCCTGCTCCGGAAACCTCTCCTCCTAGGTCAAGCCCCATTCTCTGTTTCAATTGCCTAATACTGATCTTCATATCAGAATGCAGTTGTGGAATTCAACTGGCACGCACGGCTGCTCTCTGCACGCCTTCCCATAGCCCCTGACTGACTCAGCAGGAGCTGAGAAGCCCTCGTCCCTGTGGAGTTCCCAGGTACACTCGCTCGGGGTTCTCTCAGCTTTATTCCATTGAGAACAAAACCTCAACACTAAAACTCTCGGGAACAGAGTGAAGAGTGAAACAGTGTCTTCCTGTGCTCTAGCTGTGGACAGTACAATCGTGCGAAAGCCGTGGGTCAGATTTTCCACAGCGGCAAAGGCCCGGCCTCCTGCTGTTCGGTCTTCCAACCGTCTTCAGCACACCGCACTAGGAACACAGCACCCTCCGAGCTGCCTCAGAGCAGGGCTGCGCGCGACGACGGGCAGAGGCTGTTCACGTCCCCCCAACCCTGGCCGCGGCCCAGAGCGCTCACCTGTGGCGACAGGACGTGAGATGCATCCCGGAATTCCTGGCTTCCTGACCACTACACTGCTGCTTTAGGCTGCTGCCCTGAATCGCTGCACAAACACCATTCAGCCTACTCCTCTGCCTCTCCCCTGAGGACAGTACCAAGGAACAGTCCTTAAGCCACCTGGCGCCCACACAAGGTGCCTTCCTGAACTTATATTCAATAAACGGTACGGGCTGACGGCCGAGAACTTTCATGACAAACGAAGAACCGAAGCCACGAGGTGCAGAGCAACGCAGAGCCAGCTGGATCTTACTTAGCCGCTCCTGGAGCCCCGGGACTGCCTAGTGGGTGCCTGACTTCAGACAACAGGCTGGCACCTGGATCCGAGCTCACTGATCCGGACAAGCCCTTGTCATCACCATGCAGTTTACCCCAAGCACAAACTGGGCAAGGAAGGCGCGGTACGGACCCCTGGTTACGCAGAGCGTGGAGCAGGTGCACAGGCCACGATTTCTAGCTCGTTTGGGATCAGCGGGAGAGACGGAGCAAATGAATGAAACCCAAGCACCCGGCGCCTCCACAAGGGAGACGCACGCGAACAAGGGCCCTGTGTCCAGCGCCGAGCACCGTGCCTGGCACCAAACAGCGTTATCAGTAAAACCTCGTGGAAGCCGCATCCTTTCCTCTTTCCAGCTCCAAAGCTCCCTCACGGAAGCTCACGCATTTCACGCTATGAGGCGGGCACCAGCGACCCCACCATACTGAGGGGGATCCGTGGCCCCCAAGGATTGGGCGAGTGAAGTTTTCGGCGAGGGCCCGCTGTCCCAGGTACGCTGCAGCCGCAGGACACGGCCTCTCCCGCCACGCCCACCGCACGTGCACCCACTCTGGGTCGGGGCACAGCAGCGGCTGCCCGCCCCGGGCCCTCGGTTTAACGAACCCCACTCTCTCTTTCCCCGGGCCAACCTGTCCCCGCCGGCCCCTGACCTTTTTGTCCCAGATCTGCAGGGGTTTGCTGCCGATGCTGTAGAGGATGGAGAGGAAGCCGCTCTGGAACGTGTTTTTGAACATCTCGCCGGCGGCCTTCCCCTCCGCCGCCCGAAGCCAAACTAGGCCTCGGAGGTAGAGACGAGCGCTGAGTAGCCAAGGGAAAGCAGGGAGCCCGCCCTACTCCAAAGAGACGCTGAGCGCCCGCTCTCCCGACCTGCAGCCACCCACGGCTGAACAAGGACACACGATACTCCCACAACACCACCCCCACACGGAAACCACAGCAACCGCCGCCCGCGCCGCTTCCCAGGAATAAATGGAGGCGGAGGGCCGCTCGCCGCGGGAAATGAATCCCTCCGCCCAAGTGAGCCCGCCTCCCGGAAGCGCGAGACCCAATCCAGCCACAGGAATCACAAACTTCCGGTGCCTTCCTCCCTTAAACCCCGCCCTAGCCCCGCCCCTTTGATAAAAGAACTCCGTTGCCAAGGGACTATTTTTTTCCATCTTCGTTCCACAGCTGCTTTTACCGCGGAAAGAGACGGAAGATGAAAAAACTTGTTGTTAGCACCTGCGCGGTGTCAAGGGAACGTGGCTGCGGGCGAGGCGAGGGGCGCGAAGGGGAGAGGACTGAAACGAACTGCTCAGCGGGTGCTCACCTGGGTGACCTGGGAATGCCAAGTCCATGCCTGTTGACTAAGCACAGATTAAAGGCAGCAAGAGTGTGGAGAACTCAGTGCACTAAGCGCTTCTTACCCTTCAGTTCCTAAGAGCCGCAGTGCAGTCAAAACAATACTCTGAGGAAAATGGATGGCCTTAAATGTGATTAGAAAACATAACAGCCTGCACATTAAGATAAAAGCAGAAATTAAACAAAATGAAGTTAGTTGGTTGAATTGAACCAACGGCTAATGTTTTAAAGAAACAGTCAACACTTAGCAACATTTCAGAAAAGACATAAAATAAGCTGTGAGAATTTAAGTGTGGAAGGAATCTCAAAAGTTGGAGCCTTCCCCCGTTACTGAATATCTTTCTAAATATGATCTGGTGTGCCTAAGCCTGGGTTAGGTGGTGTGGCTAATGGAAAAGCGATTTATAGATAACACCATCATCGTTACGGCGGTTTTCTTTTTGTAATCAATTACAAGAGTAAATCCAGTATGAACTATGTGTCAGGCACTAAAATAAATGCCTTTGCCTTTATTATTAACTCTTTTAATCCTGAATAATCAAGCCAGAGTCTCCAGGCACAGGGGGGAAATATGTGAATCTTAAAAAAAAAAAAAAGATTTATTTATTTATTTGAAAGGCAGAGTTACAGAGACAGAGGCAGAAAGAGAGAGAGAGAGAGAGAGAGAGAGAGAGAGAGAGAGGTCTTCCATGCGATAGTTCACTCCCCAGATGACCACAATGGCTGGAACTGCGCCGATCCGAAGCCAGGAGCTAGGAGCTTCCTCCGGGTCTCCCACGCCTGTGCAGGGACCCAAGCACTTGGGCCATCGTCTACTGCTTTGCCAGGCCACAGCAGAGAGCTGGATGGGAAGTGAAACAACAGCTGGACCTTGAACCAGCATCCATATGGGATGCCGGCACTGCAGGCGGTGGCTTTACCTGCCTACACCACAACGCCGGTCCCATGTGTGACTCTTACTAGAGAGACCAAAATGTGTATATAAAACCGAATTTTGGATATGGATTCAGTGAAATAACTCATAATCAGGAAATAATGAACTAATCGCTCCCCGCAGTAACTTCAGCCTCATGTGTGCTGCTCTCTGTAGAACTGTCGCTGGTCTGTGCTCTTCCAACACACGGACTCGGATTCCTTCCGTTTCACATGAATCCCATTAAAAACGGGGGGGGGGGTGGAGAAAAAGGTGTTTCGTGTATATAGCTACTGGCCCTGCACTAATGACTGTTTCTGGTGGGAGAGAAGTTCCGCTCTGACCCAGCTTTGCCAGACCCTCATCCTCTGCCTACCTTTGCAAACTTTACAACACCTTGTGGACTGCCTCAGTGAACTGCTTAGGCATCTCCCGGGGACTTGGAAGGAGCCCGGTGTGTGGGGGTCCCTAACGCTTGAATTCCCTTTGAGCGAATATGCCTGTTTCTCTCATATCCCTTACTCCTTTCAGCCAGACTGGACTTGACATTTGCTATGATCAGGCGCTCCCCCCCCAACACCCCCCGGCCCCTCGCCCCTGCCTAAGCCACGCCCTCCTTCACCTTGTAGCTTATTTCCAGGGGGTTGGGCTTCCGCTTTAATATTCTTAAGTCTTTTTCCCTTTGCACCCCTCAGCCGCTGGGATTCAAGCTGCTGGTCCTTCCCGGGCCTCTGAGACCATTCCAGCTGCTTTGCACCTCCGGTCACTCACTGCAGCCATCTCGGATCCCTCGAGCATCCCTTGACTGACGTCTGGCCAGCATCTCCTCCTCCGCTGACCTCCTGATTGACATCTCTGATGTGTGTGTGCATGTGTGAGCTTTGAGGTAGGATTTGCTTATTGTGCAGTTCACCCCATTTTCACTGTTAAACTTTTTTGATGCATTTACTGAATTATGCAACCATCATCACAAATTTTAGAACATTGCTGTCACTCAGACAGCGCTGTGCTGTCTGAATATGCTACTTTGTGTTCATCCTTTCGTCAGTTGATGGACATCTGCGTTCTTTCCAGTTTGACAATGTGCATGATGCTGCTATGAACTCTCATTTCCACCTCTTTGTGATGACATATACTTTCTTAGAACTGTCACTCAGAGGGGAGTTACTGGGTCATCTGGCAACTTTGTTTAACATTTTGAAAAACTACCAGTTTTTTTTTTTTTTTTTTTTTTTTTTTTTTTGACAGGTAGAGTTAAGACAGTGAGAGAGAGAGAGACAGAGAGAAAGGTCTTCCTTCCATTGGTTCACCTCCCAATGCCCGCCACGGCCGGTGCACTGTGCTGATCTAAAGCCAGGAGCCAGGTGCTTCTCCTGGTCTCCCATGGGGTGCAGGGCCCAAGCACTTGGGCCATCCTCCACTGCCCTCCTGGGCCACAGCAGAGAGCTGGACTGGAAGAGGAGCAGCCGGGACCAGAACCTGGTGCTCATATGCGGTGCGGGCGCTGCAGGTGGAGGATTAGCCAAATGAGCCACAGCACTACCAGGTTGTTTTCCAGAGTGAATGCAGCACTTTGCCGCCCCATGGTTGGGTTTCTCCATGTCCTCTGCAGCTCCTGTCACCTAGGCCTGCCTTCCGCCCGGCCACACCCTCCTCTACAAACACCTCTCAGGCATTCCGGAAGGCTCCTTTCTGCAGGTGCACAGAGTCCTCACATTCTTCACCACCACTAGGAATTTGAATTTAGGACTCTGACACTTTGTGTTTCCTCACCTCCATCATCTACATCCTCACTTGTCTTTGTCCTTGGCCTTGATTGCACAGTTCATTCTTAACCTTTTGGTTTGAATACATCCTATTTTTTTTTTTTTTTAAGATTTATTTTATTTGAAAGGCAGAGCTACAGAGAGAGAGAGGGAGAAACAGAGAGAGACCTTTCATCTCCTGGCTCACCCCCTGCAAATGACAGTAACAGACAGGGCTGGGCCAGGCCAAAGCCAGGATTCAAGAGCTTTATCTGGGTCTTCCACATGAGTGCAGGGGCCCAAGGACTTGGGCCATCTTCTGCTGCTTTCCCAGGTGCATTAGAGGGATCTGGATGGGAAGTGGAGCAGTTGGAACTCCTGCTTGTACCCATATGGGATGCTGGCACTGCAGGCCGTGGCTTTACCTGCTCTGCCACAGCACCGACCCCTTGAATATATCCCTAACAACCTTGTTACCCTCTCCCTCCCAGCAACTCACATGAATTCAAGGGGCTAAACTGCAGCCCTGCTAAGATGTGGTTGCAGCTACTCCTGCTATCCGCAAGCACCTGGATGTGGCTGGAGAAGCATTCCGAGTTGCGTGGACGGGTCTCGCATGTAGCCTCCTAAAGTTCGAAGTTGAGACTTCAGCTCTCCCACCCCAACGCACACACCCCTTGCTCAAATCCGCTCTACCCCTCTTGCCCATTCTAGTGAATGCCGACTTAACGCCTTGTTCAGACCAAAAGCCTTGGAGTTGGCCCGGGGTCCCCCCCCCCAAACCCCCAGGCCACATGGGTGAATCCCCGTCTAATCGCATCACCAACTTTGTGAGTACTGTCCTGATCCTAACAATCAGCTGCTCCCCCCGTACCCCCGCAGCACCCTCTCTCTCACTTCCACCTGTGGGATCTGACAGCCTGTTCTCCACGGGGCCTACGGGGTGGGGGAGGGGTCCTCTTGGTAGCTCAGCGCTAGTGGCCAGGAACAAAACCCAACTTACTAGAGGATGTGATACTCTGAATGTAATTCAGTGTCTGAGGAATTTCATATTAGATCTGTGACTTTAATTTTAAAAAGGCTAAGCAAATTTAATTAAATGGGTAAGCAAGGAATGTTTAAAACATTTTATTAAATTTGAGTTTAGACTTAGGTTTGCTAGTGTTTGAAAGCTTAGAAGATTGCATGAAGCTTTAGGTCTTTCTTATTAGCTATTCCAAGTATTTGTGCAAACCAAACAGGTTGAGTTTTGAAATGTCTAAGGAAACTGGATTGTGTATGCAATGTTTAGGGCTTAACACATTAAGTTTTGCACTAATTGAACATCCATCAAAAATTAAGCCGAGGTGTTTATATTTGTAGCTGTGAAGGATTTGGAGTTGATCTTAAAGACACAAGATGAGAGGCCAGTGCTGAGGCACAGCGGGTTAAAGCCCTGGCCTGCAGTGCCAGCATCCCATATGGGTGCCGGTTCGAGTCCCGGCTGTTCCACTTCCGATCCAGCTCCCTGCTAATGCACCTGGGAAAGCAGCAGAGGACAGCCCAAGTCCTTGGGCCCCTGTACCCACATGGGAGACCCGGAGGAAGCTCCTGGCTTCTGGCTTCAGATCGGCGCAGCTCCAGCTGTTGTTGCCAGCTGGGGAATGAACCAGCGGATGGAAGATTTTTCTGTCTCTACCTCTCTCTCTGTAACTCTTTCAAATAAAGAAAATAAATCTTTTTTTTTTTTTTTTTTGACAGGCAGAGTGGACAGTGAGAGAGAGAGACAGAGAGAGAAAGGTCTTCCTTTTGCCGCTGGTTCACCCTCCAATGGCCGCCGCTGCAGCCGGCGCACCGCGCTGATCCTGGCAGGAGCCAGGAGCCAGGTGCTTTTCCTGGTCTCCCATGGGGTGCAGGGCCCAAGCACCTGGGCCATCCTCCACTGCACTCCCTGGCCATAGCAGAGAGCTGG